ATTACAATGACAGCACGTTATACTCTTAGTGTGGACCTAAATGTACTAGCAATATGACTGCCAATAGGACAATTCATCCTTCCTCTTCAAACTGATGAAGACGTGATGGTAAATGTACACTTTTGCTGGCAGTACATCTGTACGAACCTCTTCTGCTAGGGCTCACGCCTCCTCTCCTGCCTGGCTGACAGAACTGCACCAAGAGAAAATTGTGATCCTGACTTTGTAAGGGATTTTCTTTTAAGAATAATTTGTGAAAAGTTTAAGGTGTCAGTCTATATTCTCACTAATGAATAATCACACTATTTTTACACAAATTTTGGTTATTTTACATGCAAACCTGAGACTGTTCTTCGGGCCATTTGTACAGTTATGAGATCTCTTTTTTCCTTGATTTAAATGTGTATCTCTTTGTTATGTAAAGAAAAAAGGTTAGTCACACCCATAATTGTTATCCAAAATCTAATTTATTGGTAATACACAAAAATCCCCCAGTGGAAACAGATGGACTTTTCCTTCCTTTAATAGCAGAGATTGTATTCCTCAACATTTGTTGAGGAGGTTCTCTGAGACTCATTTTTCAGGTTCTTTCTGCTCCATATTAAAGCATATCTCTCTCGTCCTCTTGCCTGCTCTTTTATTGATTATTACCTTACAACTTAGGATGATGATATAATACTTCTAATTAGTCATATTTAAATTCCTTTGTTCTCAGCCTCTCTCAGATCATTATTTAAGAACTAGTTTTCAGCTAGTTTTTCTGTGCGAATTTATCCCTTTGTTAGAACTGAAAAAAATGGTTAGCCTTATTTTTTTTATTATGTCTAGTGTAACAAACTTACTAGGCAGCAACTGCAAATGCATGTTTCTCCTTTCTTACTGACTTACTTAAATAATTTGGTTTTAACAAGAATTCAGCTTTTCACTGGTAAATCGTTGGTTCCTTTTGCTTTTTGTAAAGGTCACCAAGTAGTTTAAAACAGTTGTATGACAAGGCAGGTTGTGTAAACTCATACATGTTACTGTGTGTAAATTAAAATCAGCATGTGTATATATATAATACACTCCCAGTCTGTGTAATACTACTCAAAAAAAGTAGATTTATTTGAGGCTTTCCAGCAGGCTTGCTGCTGTCATCTTACGCATTGCATCTCTCTTAAGGCACCTCTCAGTAGTTTCGTCAAGTTCACAGTAACTAATGTTATTTCTTTGGTTCTTCTTAATCTCGTCATCTCACTGGTATTTTGTGTGACACACTGGCCTTCCATCCTGCATAGTTCTGTTTCTTTTTTTGAGCAGTTTTTGGCATGCACACTGCACTCAATGGTGCTACTGTTTGGTAACAGGGATAGCTAAAGCATTTTTAATTCGTATGGGTAACGCTATGAGCCCAGACAAAGGCAAACATCCAGGACGTGCACTGTAGAAGCAGCATATGGAGAACAATAGAGAATTTTATGTCATGAACTTCTCTTTCATATATTTTAATACATCTTAGATACAATGGGTTACTAGCTGCTTTATTAAATCAGCAGAGTTAAATTAGTATAAAATGGACTAATGTATTGTAGGATGGGGTAATCTGCTATGATTACTTCCAATGGCTTGCATGAGCCTTACATTTTTAAATTAATGAACAGAGTAGCTACAAACTGAGCCCTGGCTATTTAGCTCCCTATCCACAAACAGGAGAAAAGGCTGCCGCCCTGGCAGAGTGGGATGGCTGTTACACAGTCTGGAGACTGCTTCAAGGATAAACTTCTCTGAGCCAGGATGCTCGAATATAGTGCGTTAGTAACTCTGGTACTTGCTACTTGAATCTAGGAGCACTAGAGAATATCACGTGAATTCCCTTGATCTCATGAGCAGCAGCACCCATGGGAAGGGGTAGGAGGTGATGGCAAATGCAGTGGTATTTGGGTCTTTTGGGTAGAAAAGAGAAGGGGGCTTTTTGTGCAGTGCTTTCTCCCCAAGCCACTATTCTCTGCCTTTTCCAGAACAAGAGTGAGTTAGGAGCTGTTGCACTATTGCATCAACAGCACAGAGCAATCCATGCACTGCTGCTTAAGTACCAGTGTTAATGTCTCTGATATTAACTGGTGCTCAGTATCAACTGATATTTCTGATATGAGAAAAGCCCCAGTGACCAGATGACAAAAGCAGTAAGCCAGCAAGGAAAAAGTTAAAATGTTGTTCTTCCTTGCAAATTGAAGAAAGCTGGAAAAAAAACCCAGGTTTTTATAGGCCTCCTTTATCTGTTCTTTTTTTTTTTGGAAGACATCTGTCATGGCAAAGGAGGATCAGGTGACTCGAGTCTCAGAGGGCTAGTAAATCATTGCAGTCATTTTGGCAAAAGGTGATATCTTGAGCATTCTCACAGTCTTCCTTAGGAAGTATACTGTAGGAAACTAGTATTGGGTTTTTTCTTACCACTTTTCTTGCAGAGTTCTTTTTTTATAAGACAATATGATAAGGAATGCTTTCTTAAATACTACATAGCCTTTCTTTACAAGCGTTTTGTATCACTGAGCTTATACCATAAAAAATGTGAGAAATTAATTTTTAAATACATAGGATTTTTTCATAGATTTGGGTGGTCTTTATCTGCTTGATTCTTATCAACTTCTCAGCAAAAACATTGCAGTCATACTTCCCATAATTATATTACTCTTTGTACAAAGTCTTTTTGTTTTTACTAAGGTTTGAAGAGCTGCATTGCTCCTTGTTGTATACATTTAAAAAATAATAGTATCTAATCAGAAGAACAGAAGAGTGTTAAAATACAGAAAACTCTGTAGCTGATCACTGAAATCCCTCTTCTGCCCATTGTTGTAGCACTCATTAACATGTCACCAACTTCATACCTGAAGGGATATCCCTGCAACTTCTAGGATGAAGCCTGGGTTTTTTTTTTTACATAGGAACTGGCTTTGCTTATTTGGAAAGGCATTGTCAAAACAGCTAAAGGGATTTAGGTGCCCAGATCCAACTGATTGTTTTTATTTCATTTCGGCCTTTGAAGGTAACTGAGACAAGCAAGCATACTAAGAGAAACATAGCAGCGTTTCTGTTAAAATTTGGCATAGTGCATAGGCGTTTAGATGAATTGTGCCCATTCTGTACAATGTTCAGGGAAAGGGACTAACAAATGTTGTTGATGTTTCTATAGAATATGATTCTTTTTTACTCTGTTATGTTCCTCACCACTCCTTAGGATCCCCCTGGAGATAATTAGATATCATGCTGAAACTCCTTCACACAAACTGAATCTTGAAGAAAGGAAGCAGCTGGATGAGGATGTGTCTGTTGCTGAGTTGAACAGTCAGCCTATGCCCTTGAACAAAGCCCCCGATCTCAAAGGAATTACTTCTGAAATATATGAATAGTTCCAGCATATTATGCAAAATTCCCCAACTATAAGTTAAATGAATCATCCACATCAGTTTTATATCTACTGTTACCTCAGTTAATAGCTATGTATTAAGAAACATGATAAGAATCATGAAAGTTGTGTCTCCTACAGAGCCATCTCATTATGAAGTACAGATATTAAATTGCTTTCTAAACTATAATTCTGAACAATTCTTTCCAGTTTTGTTCATTAAGACTGAGCTACCTTCACATGGAAAGGACATGACTTACACATTGGAAGACTACATATAATAGCACAGTATATGCTGTATTCAGTATAGAATCTGTTTTATCATCTGAATATAGAAATAACTTTCAATCATGTACAGTGGAGCTATTGTGGCATGGTAACCAAGAAATAAATTTATCTTGGTATATTAACATTCATCTTTTCCTTGGATACAATACAAATCAAGGAGAGTTAACCAAATATGATACCTATATACAGAATCTTAAAGACTAATCTAATTCTCAGATATAAATAACCTGACATTTAAAATGAAGGCAGAAACTCCAAGCTTGTCCTTACCTGTAGTATTGAGCTTCCATAGTTTTAGACAGAAATACTCAGTGTGCTTGCACACGTCTGAATTTTTGTTATGCTTAGTACCTGCTGTTTACTTAAATTCATAAGTATGAATTACCTGCTGACCAAAAATAATTTAATTATACCTGGGTGTGTATCCTTTCATATGTTGAGGGGAAAATTGCGTTCAGTAATTCTTATATTGCCTTACCCAATATGAGAGGAAGAAAAATATTGCATGAATGCTTTATAATCCAGTCCAGCCCACTCTGATCTAAGCCTTGACCAGTGGATTGTTGTGGTTTGACTTTTTAAAGACCTGTTGCCAGTGATGAAGAACAGACAAATGTAGGCAGAGTTTAGAGCAGCCGTGTTTGGTTTTTCACCCCATCAGACAGCAGCATGTTCTGTGCTGATTGACCATGGCTTCTAGCAGGGATCCAAGGGCTCACCCACATATCTTTGGATCTGTAGCAGACAAATCAGTTGATCAGCAGTCAGTTTCCTTAGCAGTAAAATAGATCTATGTGGTATATAAAGAATAAAATACTTAGCAATATTATGGCTAATTTTAAAATTATCCCGAATAATGGCAGTTAGATGCCTGTTTCCTGCAGCTTTGAGTCAGGGAGGGAAGATGTCTAGCTTTAAGTTTTATCCTGTAGTAAATTACACTTGCAGTTCTTTATCAGAGCAAAAAGGAAAGATAGTGTTCAAATTTATATGGTATCTGTTAGGAGACACAACATCAGGGATGACAGTGTTACCAGCAGTATCTTGATAAATTGCCTGTACACATCAGTCAACAAAATGCTGTGGGACCTGCAGCTGTAAGAACATGTACCAGTTCTATGTCCCTTGGGTTTGTTTTTTTTTCAAAGTATACCTTAAAGATATGGTGAGTTATTCTTACGTATACATTCTGGGTTGGTAAAACAAATAAGTAGTTATTCTCAGAAGATTTGATTTAACCCGTTCTTAAATACCAGAACGTACATCTCTGCTCCATTCTGAATTTTGGGAGCTGGCACTTTACCTAGCACTTGTTGCATTCACTTTCCAGATCACGTGAATGGTCACTGTACAAGTCCAACGTCCCAGAGCTGCAGTTCCGGAAAACGACTTTCCAGTGCAGATGTCTCAAAAGCAAACCGCCGAGGGCCGGGGAGGCCCCCCTTCAGAAAAGCACAGTCTGCAGCCTGCATGGAGATTTCTCTCCCAGTCACCACAGAAGGTGGGTGGCAATGAATATTTTGCTAGGTATTTGTGAATTTCTCACCGGGAGTGAAAGCAAATAAGTTTAGCATGATCCTTGTCCTAGTCATTGCCCTGAACTGTTGTCTTCATCTGATTGTTTAGAATTAGAACAACCCCTGTGTGTTAGTGTTGTTACTAACAAGCCTGCTCCTGAGCTCTGTGCTGCCTAGGGGTGCGGTATGCTGAACCTCACTGAACTCTTACAGCCGTCGCCTCGCCTGTATGGATCGGGTGCTTTGTTCCAGAAAAGCGATTGTTCATAGCAGCTTATGTACAGTTATTGTGACAGCTAGTAGTACTAACATTTTAAACTCTCATTGTCTCTACTTATCAAGTCTGAAAACGAGTAAGATATTTTTAGAATGTGAGTTCAGGCTTTGCACATATATATATATTTATTTATTGGTACTGAAGACTTTATAAAATTCCACAATCACTGGTCACCATTTACAGTAAAATTATAGTCCATAATCTAATCAGTTTTTTGGATTTATAATAAGTTTCTTGCTTTAATGCTTGAAAAAAAAATATCTTCAAATCTTGATCTACCTGAGTGCAGAGTCTCGATGAAACTGAGATACAAAGTGGACCGTTCATAGCAATACATTGTGCTTAAAACTTAGAATAAGTCCATTTTAATTTCAGCAGTGCCAGCTGTTTCACTGAAGATAGTTTAAGCAGAAGCATTCAGCTGACATGTTCTTTTTCAATCTTGATAGAGTTCCACCTCTGCTGGTGGTGTCCTTCACCCTTGTCTCCCATGCTTCCAGCTCCTCCATGTTCTTGCCATAGAACAATGCATTGTCTGTGCAGAAAAGCTTGTCTATCAAAAACTGAAAAAGTATAGTATCAAAATAAATGATATAGGACTGTAGTGTTGGTTGTATTCAATTTTAATAATAGGTAAAAATTTAATAATATTTAAACAACAGAAATGATAGGTTTAATATTTTAATAATTAATTTTAACAATTAAGTCTTTTAAAAACCCAGATTTTAATTTTAATCAAGTTGCAGAATTATTTCCTAAGTGCCTAAGAGATAATAATCTCCTGTGGCTATTGTCTGGCCTGTAGCATGGCCTGAACCCCCCGTGATGCTGTAACGGAGAGGCAATTGACAATGCCATGACTCTTTCAGAATTAAAAAAAGAGATCTCATAACCGTACAAATGGCCCGAAGAACAGTCTCAGATTTGCATGTAAAATAACCAAAATTTGTCTAAAAGTAGTGTGATTATTTATTAGTGAGAATATAGACCGACACCTTAAACTTTGATTTATGAACAGCATTTACCTATTCATGGCACGCAGAACAAAGCATGGTCAGAGACTCTGCAAAATGACTGCACTCACTGAAGGTATTACCATGTTCCAGCTATGTCATTAGGACTCTGGTAGAAGTCACCTCCCATTGCCAGAGGCTATCACACCAAAACGGATACTGGTGCAAGAGAGATACTTTGAGTTGTTGATTTCTGCTGAAGTGCAGAAACATTTAGCTTAAACAGCTTTTTATATTGGATTAAATTATCCAACTCCCTCTGCACGAAAGCAAATGAGAAATGCCCACGTGATCTGCTTCTCTGACTTTACTAGACAAGTATTAACGTTCTGCAGAGGAACAGGGTCAAAAACTTGGGGAGTAGTGACGTTTCAGCTGACACTGCTGGTTCTTAAGTGACCAAGTATCTCTCCTTCAGGAGAATGTTACAGTATCATGGACTCTTCGAAGATTAAGTCATAGGCTGAACGGCAAAAATGTTAAATCGCATTGTAGGCTTTGTGTAACATATGACAAAGTGTAATCCTCAGCAATCAGTTATAAGAAACAGTCCTGTTTAAATACTAAACCTGCTATAAATTTGAGTTTTAACTGGGATTAATTAATGGCTCCTGTGTGAACATTATACTAAAGCAGATTTACAGAGCTCTGAGGTGTTTATAAATTCCTGTGCATAAGGGCAGTTTTCATCTGCATAATCACCATTTTTTCCTCCACATTAGTTATTGATGATGATCATAACATAACCCTTTCATCTACCTCTCTTTATGCACCACACAAATATGGTAAGTACCATTGTCATATAATAGCTCGTGGTGGAAAATATGTCACTGCCACAGTAGTTTCTATTGCTGTGTGGTTTTCTTCATCCTATGTAGTACCAAACTCTCTGGAATTCTTTTATGCAGATACTGCTGCAATATCAGCACTACTTGTATATAACCGGGCTACGGTACTACCTAATTCTTTTATGCTGCTGCTTTTATTTTTCCTTCCCATCCTCCCAGGGTAAGTAGGGTTACTGACAGGCAGAACTTACAACCCCCTAAGGACCCACTGACCCTTGTGTACAAAACATTTAGTAATACAGTGATACTTTTGATGGCGTGATGATGCTTTCTGTCTATCGGTATCATGAAAGATTCACTTTCTATTGTTCATCACTAATTATAATACCTGTCAATTTTAATATTAAAGTATATCTCTTTCTAGAGATAGTCATCTAACTTCCTTTCAGGGACAAGGAGTAAGTGACATAAAAAAATCCCTGTTTGAAAGTATCAATGGTGTCACTTCAATGGTATTAAAACTTTCACTAAGGTCAATGGAATGACTTGCAGGAAAGAGCCAGACAGTCTTTAGAGTAATTTACATTAACATGTAATATGATGGAGCATGGTTTGGGTTTGTCCTTGAATCTGTGGGTTTGTGTACAAGTCACCTTTCAGCAGGTCTATAGACTAAAATAATTATCTGTTTATTTATATTCTGTCATTAAAACAAAGCCATCTGTCCAACTTGGGTAAACTTTTTTTTAGATGCCTTTTGACTTCTAGCTGTACTAACTGATCTGTCTGGAATGACTGACATTCCACTGTTCTTCATGCATCTTGAATTTCTAGACATACTGTTTTGGCAAGTGGTTTGATTTATTTCTGAAGGTTTTTGTACTAAATAATATGGTGGAAGGTGGTATGATCCTTGAAAGATTTTTAAGCTGGGGGTAAGGAGGAGGGTGAGGGAGGGGGAAGATGAGAAGTTAAAGGGTTTGAGAAATAATATATTTAGAATAAGCATTGTCTCCAAAATGTGGAACTGGCTTTGATCAAAACCTTCTGGTTGGGCTGTTCCAAAATAAAATCAAAAAAATCTTCTCTGTGCTAAGAATTTATTGGCTACTTAGGAGCATATGCTGCAATAAACAATAGATATCTTCACAAGAAATTATATTTTTTTTCTTTTTCATATTCTCCTGTGATGAATCAAGATACATATTTTATGTCCTTGCTAGAGAAGTAGTATTTCAGGTTAGTATTTGGTAGGATTTTATTATTCCACCTGAGTAGAATTTTGATTAGAGATTGCTATCTCAGTAGTGTTAAGCACTTTTTATACTTTTTAAAAGAAAAAAAAAAAAGCCTTTGTGTGTGGGTGAATGGTTCTTACCCTTTCTTAGGCCTGTCTCTGAGGCACTGGTAACACCTGGAGATTTTTTCATAATGCTTCCAGTTCCTGCTTTTTACAACCTCTTCTAATTGATTTGATTAAAAAGATAATACATTTTGGTGACTAATTGTAAGTTATCTATTAGAACAATAAATCAGTCTTCTCTTGCATTGGATTTCAAAATCTATTTATTTAAATCTGATCTTTTGGTACAATAGGAACTGTATTTTCAGTAGTTTCATCAAGCGTATTTTCAAGCAACTTTCACACAATAAATTCTTCTGACTTCATTCCTGTTAGCTGATTGTCAAGATTTGGCTGACTCTTCCTGTTTACATGTGCAGAAGAATTTCTGATACAGAAAAGCATTTTTGAAGAATGTCTTTGCAGTGATGAATCATAGGAAGAAAATGGAGGGAGAGGGGCTGTCTTGTTTTCTGCTGGTCAAAATATTGCAAACTGTTCAGTTTCATAAAGTAGAGATTTCTTCCACACTCATAGAAGAATAATTCAAAAGCCAAGTAATGGTAGCAGAGGAGAGATGTCTATGTATGCATGGTTACTGTTAGTGTTTAAACCTATGTCTTTCCCAGTATCCTCATCCAACATGGAAAAACTTGAAAAACTCTAGAGCTTTTTGAACTTAAGTAGATTTTATTCCAAGCTAAAGATTACTGCTATTTCAGTTTCAAAGCCTATTGTTTTGTTGGGTTTTTTTTCACCAAAAACACTAGTATCTAGATCAAATAGCTTGTTATGGTTATATTTTTGTCAATAATTAGCCAGACATTTAATAACAGCACTTCTCAAATACCATTTATGCTATTTAAAATGTTACATGTTGTCCTGTAGTACCTTCTGGTTTCATAAATGCAGTATTCTCACAGCTATACTAATAAATTCTGTAAATACTTAGAGATTCTGTCCCATGATAACATTCTGTAGAAAGGGAATGTATTTTGTCTCCAAGTTTAGTGGATTTCCTTGCATTTGCACTGGTCGTGTCTCAGTCTTTTCCAGCTCTGGGCTCCGACTAGCACCCTATTTTGTCTGCAGGTGTCCTTACAGAAACATTCAAATAGGGATTATATTAACCTTTTGTTTGGCTTCTTTAGGGGAAATGTGTACCCCTACCTGGCTTGCCTTCTATCCTGTCACACAAATCCAAACCAGTCCATCTCAGTCTAAGAACTAATACTGCGTAGTTGTTAAACCTGTCAAAGCCCCCTTCCATCTAGCAGAGATCTCAGCCTGATCAAGAATTTCAGTGTAGATGAATAGGCCCAAAACATCTGCTTTTTTTCTGCATAGGAAAACAAAATCTGTATTTCAGTCAAATTTTTAATTGTAATTTTAGATTAAAGCACTGAATTAAAGAAAACAGTGACGTTAAAGAATAAAAATAAAATTGTTGTGGGAGGGAACTCAGTGTGGCTATACTTATATAGCTGGTGGGTATATGGATATGTGCACAGATACATATACTGGCACACAGTCCTCTGCTTTAGTAATTATAACTAACTCTGAG